TGAGATAATGACTGAGAATATTCGGAAACACCAACGGAGAGGTGTCTCATAGACCAATGGAGAGGATAAAGAGCCTCGTTCCAGATCCCTGTCAGTGGTGTTGCGAATTTGGGGGCCGTCTTGTCTTATTCCGTCCTGTTTTGGCTTTGCAAGCGATCGCCAAGTATGAGTCTGAGACACTACGAGCCTATTTTGGAGAAGAGCCAAAAAAGGGGGGGGTGAAGACCCAAGGCAGAGTCACCGGGGAGTGTAGCGCATTTCCCGCAGATTCCGAGAAGACTACGAACCCCACAATGCAAAGGTGATATGAGTCTGGCCCCCACATTCATACTCCAGGGCTAGCCATGGGTGTATTTATTACTCCAAGCACATGGACAAAGAACAATCAATATCTGGCGCCGGGGCGGGGCAATATACATACATCAAGAAAGAAACAAAGAGAATACGGTTTCCCGCTTCCTTCTCGTAATCGGTGCCAATAACAACGTATGCTCCGTAGCCACAGTATGTACTATCACAGGGGGATCCCTGGCACAAACCCTGTCAATGCCCTTATCCTGGTTCTGCCCTGTCCTGCCCGGTGGTGATCACCCACCATTTTGGTTATCCTTGTGCATTTCTGTTTTTAGAACACCCCTCACCACCCACCATTTGTCGCCGCAACCACATGGATGACAGGGACCGGCGCCTACAGATAAAACATACATAGAAGGGTCACTGCCATAGGGCTTAGACTTACATAGATCTACTATTCCAGACGGAGTACATCCAAAGAAGATCACATCCCGACGATAGAAATAGAATCATGGAGAGACATGACATGGCCCCTACATTGCATGTATTACAAGCGGTACAAACCAGATACAGACTCGCAAATTGGGATGTCGTCCCAATCTGGTCAATGCGACAACACGCCTGTTGAGGCCAGACTCTGGTCCATGCTCGAGACTGGATGATCTGCGCACCCGAGTTGCAGTAGAATGGTCCACCCTCATTGTTTCAATTTCAAATGGCCCAGGGTTTGGCTGGGTTCGGGTAAGGCAAACTCGTCTGATTGCACGGAAAGGGAGATTAGCAGCGACTAGTTTCCTCTATTTCTCCGGGAAGCTTTCGTGGGAATTAAAGGTTCTTACGTATTAGGGATGATGGACTTTGGTCTCAGCCTTGTCGAGCCGTGTTGAGAAGGAAGTGGGGAAAGGGAGAGATGGGATGGCCTCATGGGAGGGAAAATACGGAGTAGGGTCAATCAGGTCAGGAGGATAAAGTAGGGTTGCGAACCGATTGCCGACGCGGGAGCTGTTCCACGGGTTGCCTTGGGGCGGTTGTGGTTACCCCGATTACTGTTTTAGGCATTGTGTTTTTTTTAGTGCACTGTCTGAGCTGGGATTAGGCTGGGGTTAGGCTGGGGTAGGAGAGGATATTTGGGCAATTGGGGTATTATCTGAGCTAGGCATTTTGAACCATGGGATGGTTTATGGCCGGACTTATCCCGGTGATTTACTCTGTACTACCCAGAGAGATAAGTGTTGATTTACCCTATGGGGAAATTAGTTTGTCGATGGCGGAATCAACGGAGGTGAGCCGATGCAAACTTTTGGTTTTTTTTATTGCTTTTCCTCATCTTCTGGAATCGCTAAAGACTCCCCTTAAAAAGAGGTCTCAACTCAAAACACGTGTGATGGATAGGAATAGTCATCTTGCATGCTTTGCCTGACTGTGGCTATGTCATGAGCTTGGCCGACCCAACCGTGCGGCACCGGAAATTGATTGAATTACACAACTTGGGATCCGCCAGATTTCGCAGGCTCGGAGTCGCCGTGGGTGAGATGCGCAGAGCAAGGGACCGCGCCACAATGAGTATCCACACCCGTTTTGGGCCAGAGTCTATACGGATTACAGTACGGAGTACGGAGAGTAGGGTTGATGACATCCCGGGGCAGTGGTCCTGGCTTATTTGTGGGGTGGTACCCTAATCATCCTGAGTTTAGCGAGCAGCCCTATCAACGATCGGGGAGGCCGTTCACCTATTCAAAACATTGGGAATTGGTTTGGGGGCTAAAAAGTGGTGCCAGCAGGGTGAGCGACCGGAAACCTAGATGGTAGGTAGTAGTACTATGTACGAGTAGTTCCAATGGCGTGGGGGCTTATTGGGTCGCTGCTGCCGTCTCATCACAAGGGTTGTGCAGGGGTTGCAGGACCCGAGATCCATATTCTCGGTGTTGACTGGCGGGTGGTCAGGGAGTCAAGGTTCATCAGGCTTGCGTTTCAGAGAAGCGAGATCCGTTATTCGTGGTTACTCGTACGCCGTTTGGCCTGGCCTGGCCTGGCCTGGCCCTTTCGGGCTGTTCGATGATGATGATTGCATTGCATGAGGGACCTGACAGCGAACTGACAGTTCCGACAGGACCAGTGATGTATCCCAATGGAGGGTTCAACACTGCCACGGGCGATCCATCATTGACGTGGACCCCGTGCAGGCCGTAGGGCGAAGCCAAGCCCAAACCCGCGCGCTCGTACCATCTCCCTATTGGGTGTAGCCTGGCAGTAGTGAACCCCCTGTACGGAAGGATGCATTTTTTATACATGGGTCCGTCCGCTGTAGGGCAGTAATACGCGTGCCGAATGAGGTCATGTCGGGATCGCCGACCCCAGCGGTGAACGAAATCCCTGCTGCGCCTCAATTCTGCTTGGAGGCCCACTGAGGGAGACACAGAGAACCAATAGGGGATTAGTGCCTGTTGTGCGAGTACGATTAATTGGCCAATTCTGTGGCTAGGGCCAGGACCGTGGCTGTCGCCGAGAGAGTCGGGGCCTCTCGCTCACCGACCGGTGGCAGGTCGTCTGGTTCGTGACGGCTACTCCGGGCCGTAGTATCTCATGTCTCCTCTTAGGGCTGTGAGGGCAGGGCGGGATTGGATGGGCGGTCTTTTCCGGATCAGTGGCTTAGGTATTGTCGGGGAATACTGCAGAATCACGGTTGAAGGCAGGAAAGAGGGCTTGGTTTGTTATACCACCTCGCCCCGTAAGGTGTGTACTGCATAGCCTAGGTATGCAGGGAGCTCTGTTTCCGTTTTCTTGTCTGGATATCACGGAATTAGAGAATCAGACCAGAGTTTGATGGGATCCAGTACCGAGGGTACGTTTAATACTCGTACCTAAGCTAACTACGGAGTACACCACTCACTACATGGTCGGTAGACATAATCGGTAGACATCGAGTATCAGTATCAGCATCAGCATCAGCATGTGAACGCGAATGGGAGTGAATGTCATACCCATACTCGTACCCCCTTTTCTCCACCCAAACCAACCCCAATCCTAACCCTGGCCATTACGAGTATGTAGTTGCAACCCTGAGAATACGGGGGACGGCCCAAATGGCAACGAACGCATGCGGCTCTCACCAGGGGAGAGAGAGGGAGAGAGGATCGGATCACATTGCCTGGACCGAGGGATCGTCACTTGAGGGGGGACGAAGGGGAATAGCGGATAGAGTGGAGGTCCGCGGCGGTATCGAGCGATGCCAATCAATCAACAAAGAGGGCGCGATCGTCCGTCCCGAGCGGGTGGACGCAACACGATTTGACTGCCAGATCGTGAATGGGGGAATTTGAGTGGGTGAACCGGGTGCAGAAGAACCCCACTACGTGTTTCTTGGAGCGATGGCGGTTCGGCGCTGTGATTTGTTTGTGGTTGGGGGAGTCTAGTGGACTTGACGAGTCGACCCGGGGTGACGGGTTTTGCTCATAGCCAACGATTAGGTCGGTCCTCGTACAGATTTGGTACCCTGGTTGAATTGGCGACTTTCTTTGCCTGGGGCATGTAACGCTGACGGATCGACAATGCGCTGTATGAAGTAGAGGATAGAGGACGCGAATATTCTACCATCTGTGTGGAGCACGAGTATCTGTACTCCGTAGTATGTGTGCGAATACGGGATGGCAGGAGATCACATATCCACTCTGACAAATCGACATACTTAAGTCTTACGCTTAGTTTACTGAGCCATCCACAAGTACACACAAAGTACACGGACTCGCCGATGCCTAAAAAATGAGGATGGAGCCGACGATCAACACGTATGCATGCTGTATGTACAGAGTATCCTCCTCTTTCCTCTACTCTCCTCTCTCTTCACTCCTCTACCCCGTACTATGACCGCATGAATAATTATCTATGGACGCCTAAGGAGGCGGAGCTGGACTTGAGTGCTAGCTGCTACCTTGGGCTATTAGTATTTGTCCCCCAGTACTAGGACGGATACACTGTAGTATCCGCATACTCATACTCATACTCATACATACCTAAAGTAAACCTTGGAACTAACTACTGCACGCACCGAGCAACACGAACTGCTGCGCCTGCTCTGGTTCGCGTATTGTCATTTTACACACGTCATACGCCTGATCTTCTGTTTTCTTTCCCTTTTTGTTTTTTTATTTTTATTTTCTATTTTCTCTTTTCCTTTTTGGATTATTGCTGTATTATTTTATTCCTTTTCGAATATTGCATATTATATTTTATAATTGTAATAATATTTCTATTTTATTATTATTATTATTATTCCATCCATTATTTTCTTTTTATTTTAATTTCCTCAGATAATCCATTTGATCATAGATCCCATCGTTCACTTCGACTTTATAATACTCTACTCTTTCCCTCTTTCCCCCCGGCCGCCAACATTGATGATCTTCATGTCAAACTTCCCCATCACCACGCAAGGAGTGCCTTCATGAATCCCTGATCCTGCTCAACACTCTCCCCCCTCCTCCCCCTCCCTTGCCTACTCATTCATCATTGCACGTTGCTTTTCCTCCGAGTTGGCACGTTAATCTGGCCGAGCCGCAATTCTAACTTTATCCTGGTATTGTCCCATTCCCACTGCACTGGCAGCTTTGCATTACCTTTCCACCATACTGACCGGTCTGCGATATAGAGTCTCGACTCACCAGAGCTCCGCTCCAATTGCGCTCGCTGAATCCAAATCCAAATCAAAAATGCTCGCTGTTGATTCTCATTCTCGTTTCAAGCCCTCCTACTTCCAGTCTATGCCAATGGACCCCGGCATGGTTGATATGTTCTCCTTCCCCATGGACGGCATGCCCTACCAGCACCAGCACCACCAACATCATCAACACCACCACCAACAAACCCAGCCTGATTTCCGCCTGGCATACCTCGATGGTCCCATCTATGAGGACCTCCAGCAACACCAGTTCCCTTCGATGCCTACCACGCCTCCCTCAATCTCCACTAGCCAGTCTGAGCCCCAAATCCCCACCGGTTCAACTGCCTCGGGACCTTCCATTGCCAGTGCTCCCTCCTCCGTCATCAGTTCTCCATACTCCGGCGCTCAACAAGTCTTCCAAGATAATTGGGTGAACACCAACCACGGCCTGGGCTTGCCTGCTGCTGTCATGGGTGATCTCTTCTCCTCTCACGATTATATGGGACAGGTGGAGATGGATGGATTGTACCAGGAGAAATTCCCCGATCCTTTTGTTGGTATGTGGCGCATATCTGACTTTAATCTTTATACTTATCAAACCATGGGACAACTTGAACGCTGACACATTCCATTCCTACCAGATCCCTCTCTCATCCAACCAGTCCACCCGGGCCCCAACTTCACTCCTACCATCTCCTACCCCGAGAACCCTGCCACCTATTCCAACATCCCCCACAATTTCCCACACTCGCCCGCAACCTCCCCAATCCCCTACAGCGACAATGTCGACCACCAAGGCTCGCCCCTCCAGGGAGCGGGTGCCTCCCTCACTATGCCAGGTCCCCACTCGCGCCCTGTCTCCGTCTACGACCGCCGCTCCTCCGTCTCCTCGATTCACTCCCGTCGCTCCCAACAAAGCCCCGCCCTCAGCAGTGTCGAAGCCGATGACGAGGTCAAGGAAAAAGGCCGTTGCCCCTTCCCCGAATGCGGTCGCGTCTTCAAGGATCTCAAAGCCCACATGCTCACCCACCAGTCCGAGCGCCCCGAGAAATGCCCCATCATGACCTGCGAATACCACACCAAGGGCTTCGCACGCAAATATGACAAGAACCGCCACACTCTCACTCACTACAAGGGCACAATGGTTTGCGGCTTCTGCCCAGGACCCGGCTCCCCCGCGGAAAAGAGCTTCAACCGCGCCGATGTCTTCAAGCGCCACTTGACTTCCGTCCACGGCGTCGAGCAAACTCCTCCCAACTGCCGCAAGCGCAGCCCCAACGGCTCTTCCAAGAAGGGAACAAATTACAGCCCCGACGCCACCGGCAAGTGCTCCACCTGTTCCGTATTGTTCAGCAATGCGCAGGAGTTCTACGAGCATCTGGACGACTGTGTCCTGCGCGTTGTGCAGCAGGAAGAACCCTCCGAGGCAATCAACCAACAGCGACTGGCCGAAGTCGCCGCCGACGAAGAGGTTCAGAAGACGATGGAAAAGCACCAATTGCTTGACGCGGCTGGCCCGCGCGAAGATGATAACGACTCTCATGACGAAGATGACCTAAATGACCTCTGGCGCACCCGCCTCTCCTCCAACAACCACAGATCCTCTAAATCCTCTTCCAACTCATCACGCCCCATCATCGGCTCCGCCAACGCTGTCTCCAAAAATACTGCCAAGCCCCGCGCCGTCACCCGTCGCCGCAATAACCGCGGCAACTACCCGCAATCCTGGGGCTGCCCGAATAGCAGTATGAAGACAAAGAAGCGGGTCCTCTGCGTCTTTGACGGTCAGCGTCGCCTGTGGAAGGACGAGATGATGTTGAACAATGACTTCGAGGTCCGTCTTCAACTTCCCGGTGGCGCGGGTGATGGTACCCATCGCGATGCATATGTTACCGATCTCGATGTCGAGACCATGAAGCGCGCGGAGGGTGTCCTCAATGCGACAGATGCCGAGCGTGGCCCCTGGATGGATGGCCCTGCACCTCATCTAATGGGCCAACCTGCCATGCTCTTGCCTGAGCTGGGTAGACAGGATGATGAGATTTCTATCAACGAACTCATGGCCTGAACATGAATCACCTTCTTATCCTCTTCTTCTTCCTTCCCCTTCTTTCCCCACCCTCTTGGCTTCGCTCTGTCTAGCCTAGAATAGCAGGGTATAGTCGGCTTGTATTCTTTCTTCCTTTTCATGTTCTATAGCAGTGGCGTCTTGAGTCGTTTTCAGCGTGCTATCATCGAAATACCGCTGTGATATCTTTGGGTTCTGATTGTGATTGTGATACCTCACAGGATTGGTCCTGGATGTTCTTTTTTTTATTCCTTTTTCTCTCTTATTGTTGTCATGAGTCTCCTTTGTCTCTCTGTCTCTCCTATAGCTTTTCAGCTCGGCTCGGCTCTCACCTTCTACTCAGTTTTATCAAGGTCTCTTCCGCTGGTCGGGGAGCCAAAATACGAAACGATTTAATGCGATCTCTATGAACTTAAGAATCACTGTTACAAAATCATATGATATAACTACGACTAACAATATCGCATTGCAGCCTAAGTAGCCGCGGTATATGCGCCTGAATAATTGGCAACGACGCAAAACTGGCAGATTAGTATTCTGCATCTTCCTCAAACCGGGACCCTTCTCGTCCTCTGCACCTGGCTGGATTGTAACAGTAAAGTTATCTATCATTTCTGCTTGTTATAAGCAACGAACCATAGCTCCTAACCTAGCAAAGTCTACTCTTGTGTTGATTTGTAATATAATTAGTAGTAATAAGCTAAGTAGCTCGGAGATAGCTGCAGCTGCAGGCTACAGCGAGTACGCTATTACCAAGATTAAGTCTAACCTAAGACTATTCGGTAGTGTTAAAGCTCCCCCTATTAAAGCTAGACGGCCACAGAGCATCACTCCGATTATGCTAGAAACTCTAGATTATTATTTACTCTAAAAACCGGTTTTATACCTTTATGCGATAGAGCTTTTCCTTCTCGATGAATTTGGTGTATCTGTACCAAAGTCTACGATCAGTAATACCCTATATCGTATAGGGTGGTCTAAGAAGACAGCTCGGCAGAAAGCAAAAGAGCACAACCCAGATTTACACAATAATTACTGTTACCTTATCTCAGAATTTAGTTCATACCACCTTATCTACATAGATGAATCTAGGTGTAATAAGTAAATAGGGATCAGAAGAACTGGCTGGTCTCCCCTCAGTATAACGCCCGTACATGTATCAAAATTCCATTACAATTAACGGTATTAGATTCTCCCTGTATATATATAAGACAGGATTCTACTTTCTCGTATTTTCTAGGGAGCAACAGATACTTTATTCTTTGAAGATTTCATTAAAGAACTCCTCCACCACTGTAGAAAGTACCTCAAGCCTAAATCAGTTCTCGTTATAGACAATGTATCCTTCATCGTTCCGAGAGAATCAAGCAACTGTGCTTTGATAAGGAAGTCAAATTAATCTATTTAACTCTATACTCCCCCGACTTAAACCCAATTTAAGAGTTCTTTGCGGAGCTAAAAGCCTTCATTCGGCGCAATTGGCAGTCTTGCACCGAATATCCAGATCAAGGGTTCGATTACTTCCTCGGCTGGTGTATTGACAAAATCGGAGCAAAAAGGCAGAGCGCAAGACGTCATTTCAAAAACGCAGGTATTAATACTGAAGATCTGTAGTAAAACAGTTCACAAAAGAAGTACTCATTTGGGTTCTAATTAATACCTTACATACAGCCGTGTGCAAGCCAGCTTTGCCGTTCAACACCCTTCTCTTAAGTCTTAGCTCCACTTCTAAAACTCTAGTCTGGAGATTGAGAGCTTTTAGTGAAGTACAGTGTATATATATTACAGTACTATGCGTGGAATTTTGGATGTAGCCGCTGACCTAGTCATCCAGATCTGCGGCAAACCACAATGTAATACAGCGTATAAGATTTGGACACTCGTGAAACCTGATGGCAGATCCCATTAGTACTGTAGGGTCATGATTCCTTTTTTCCCCACGCCCTTCTTCTACAGAGGAATGAGGATACAGAAGGAATAAAAGTGAAAATCATCGACACTTGCTATTACACGAAGTCGTAGAAAAGGAACCTGCCCTGATGGGTGTCCCAAGACAAGTAAATCCCTATTAATGGTGAAACAAGGAGGCCGATAGTTAGGAGGAAGCCATAGTACATTTCCACCGTTCAGGTTTATCCATTGTCTGTCCTCAATGAAGATCGCTATATGCCTATACCTCTCAATTTCCAGGAAATTTGTGTAATACTTCGAGAATAATTTTCGCATCTCGATACTCATCTATTCTAGCCTCGAGCCGTACCAATGTGTGACTTCCTCAGGCATATAACTCACCACTCGCTTTGCTTGCTGCCGTGAAGATAGGGAAGCAAAATTGACTCTCTCTCTGGGAGGTGGGTCACAGAGGATGGACTTTTCGAACAACGCATTTCAGTTAGAGACATCTTCCATTGAGAGCTTGATTTATAATGAATCAATTCTGATTTCCAAGACACAGTATAATACTTGGCGATCATCTAAGATATAACGGAAGTAAATGTTATCGCCGAGTGTCATCACGTAGTTACTATTCATCCGACTCCGGGAAGCCGTATACTGACCGCCCCGACTCCGAATGCGACACCATTCTGCTTTTCCCCCGAAGATTTTCGGGATTTTCGGGGTCGTACACGATTACATCATGAAGTATGCCGTCGCAGCGCCAGAGAGCTCCGCCTTTAAAAGGACATATGCCTCATCAGTTTGGTTCCATAATCAATCCCAATCATCTATCTCTATTCAGATCTTCGTTATTTACTCACTGCAATGTCTCCGCCAACCAAGGTCACCTTTCCATCTTTCCTGCTGCAGGTCAGCGGCGAGCTCTATGCTCCCGTTGCCGGCTCCCCTGATCGCAAGGGTGCTGCCGTTGTGATCAGTCACCCTATGACCGGTGTCAAAGAGCAAACCTCTGCAGACCATGCTCGATTGCTTTCTAAGGCTGGTTTTTATGCTCTCACGTTCGACGCGGGGTTCCAGGGCGAAAGCACCGGTCAGCCGCGTGGCCTTGAAGACCCTCATCAGAGAGTAGAGGACAATAAGGCTGCTGTGAGCTACCTGACCACTCTTGAGGGCAAGGTTGACCCTAGCCGTATTGGTGTCCTCGGAATTTGCGCTTCGGGTGGTTATACGTCCTATGCCGCGCAGAGTGACTCGCGAATCAAGGCCCTGGCCACTGTTAGTGCCGCTTGCGTCGGTCGCATGACTCGCAATGGAGGTCTATACAAGGAGAATAACAAGGAACTCCCTGAGGCTATTGCTGGAGCTCTTCAAGCGGCCGGAGAATGGCGAAATAAGGAAGCTCGTGGACCTCATTCGGAAGCCCCGCCCATGTTCAGTACCGATCTTAAGCAGATCCCTGATGATGCCGACTCTTTCTTCAAGGATGCAGCCAATTACTACGGATCCAAGCGCGGAAATCATCCAAGATCGGACCAGAAAGTCCCTCCTTCCAGCTACGACCTCATGGTCAGCTACGACTCATTCAACTTCCAACACCTGATCTCTCCACGACCATTGCTAATGATCGCCGGAACCAACGCTCAGACTCTTCACTTCAGTGAAGACGCAATTACTGCAGCCCGTGAGCCCAAGGAGCTCTTCATTGTCGAAGGAAAGAACCATTTCGACCTCTATGACGATCTTGCGGTATCTGGCCCAAAGCTTGTGCAATTTTTCGGAAAGAACCTCTAAACTTTACGTCGAGGCCTAGTTGCAGGGATTAAAAGGAAGTTTGGATATGAAGGAAATTTGAATCTAGTTTATATTTAGTAACTCTACCTTGCAGTTCCCTTTCAACTTTGATGACAGTGACTACGTATTTGGAAAATAGAAGCGTGGATTAGAGTAGCAACCAGCCGAATAGTGGTACATAATTCTTTGTAGTGTTGTCTTTTAAATCACCGCCGAAAGCTATATGTGATCTATGGATATCTACCAAGTTCAGAGAACTTGTCATTAAGTTTAATTACTTTGCTTTTTGAAAGGTGGTTATCTCCGAATTACCGATAGAGAGTAACGATTAAAATAGAGAACTAATAAATGACTACGAGGTATCGAGAATAGTGCAAATGACACATTAGGGCCCTTCTTGAACTCGTTGAACATATCTAACTGTCAAATACAAGACCATTCTCCTTTATTTCGCAAACAATATGGCTGGGTCTGATATCTTAGAACTCCCGGCGACTCCTCGGGTCGCAAGGTTCCCCCACCGCATGTTTTCCCGAAGGTTCTTGGCAATGAAGATTTTTTGGCGAAGAACCATCCCGCACGAAGGAGATCAATGAAAGTCAGAACTAGTGTAATTAATGACCTGTTCGATCTAGCGGAATTAACTCATCCACTTTACCGGGGTTAAATCAGGGAGGTAACGGGATGATAACTTTGGTTGGTAACCAAAATTGCCTGCCCGAAAATCCCGAAGATTCGCGGGTCTGTATCGGAGAGAGAAAAGGTATATTTAAAAAGTCATGAATGCCATGAAGGAGCAAGGATTCATCAAACATCGGGATTTTATCTTCTTCTTCAGCACACAGCCTTCAATTGTACGAGCTTTCTCTTAGTCCGCCTCTAAAAAAAAGCTTGGATATGGAGTCGAGGTACGCCAAAGTTCATCAATCACCAAAGGGCCCAGGTGATGCACGTCCTACCGCGCTCCAAATTGTCAAAGACGCAGGCCGTGAAAACACCTTGGCCGGTAAAGTTATCCTGATCACAGGTTGCTCATCCGGCTTAGGCATCGAGACTGCACGCGCACTCTTCCAGACCGGAGCAACATTATACCTTACTGCTCGCGATCTAGAGAAGGCAAAGTCTGCATTGAGTGATCTAGTGGAAAGTCCGCGAGTTCATCTTTTGCACCTTGATTTGAACTCCCTGAAATCTGTGCATGCATGCGCTGTGGAGTTTCTGTCGCAGTCTGAAACTCTGAACATTCTGATCGAGAATGCTGGCGTGATGGCGTGCCCTGAAGGCAGAACAGCGGATGGATTTGAACTCCAGTTTGGAACAAACCATCTTGGCCACTTTTTGCTGTTTGATCTTCTCAAATCCCGTCTCCTCTCTTCATCTACCCCGAGTTTCAATTCTCGAGTTGTCATTGTTGCTTCCAGTGCCCACCGTGTCTCCTCCGTTCATTTCGACAATCTTAGTCTAGACGGCGAGTATGAGGCTTGGAAGGCCTATGGGCAGAGTAAAACTGCCAACATTTGGACAGCGAACGAAATCGAGAGAAGATACGGTGCTCAGGGTCTCCATGCTTTCAGCTTGCATCCTGGTGCCATAGCGACAGAGCTTCTTCGTCATATATCGGACGAACAGAAAGCCGACTGGGACAAGAATGAGTTTCTGGCAAGCTATTGGAAAAGCCCTGAGCAAGGCGCTGCAACTAGTGTTTGGGGAGCAGTTGCACGGGAATTGGAAGGTACTGGAGGCAAATACTTGGATGACTGTCAAATTGCACCTCCGGCCGACCCGTCAAAGCGACATGGACCCGGGTATGCGGCATGGGCATATAGCCCTGAAATGGAGACGAAACTGTGGGCCAAAACACTGGACCTGCTTTATGTGCAATGAATAACCTTATTCGTCGGCACCGCTGGTCTGACATACAACGCAGTCTGCCAAGGAATCAGCCTTTCACTACAGCCGAAGCCTTCTGCAAAACACTATTACGACCGGAAAAATCTCCATGCTTGCTTGCTTGGTTTTTTTTAAGATTTTAGTGTTCTGGTGAAGGTGATAGAGTACTTTTCCTGTCGGGATTTACTTCAATTTCCAATCCAGATTCACATTCATTTAGATCTTCTAGGTTTTTAACAACCCCTCGTCTCTCGTCAAATCCGTGTGACTCAGCTTTGCATTATTTTTTATGCACTAATGGGTCAAATGTCTTCATCAAATACGCTTGATTATATTGTATTCTGTCGTCCAATAGCTAGATTAATCCTCATATGATGTGTGTCAATCATGCGACTCAGTGTCTATCTCCATATGATGAGAGATGGTCTCGAAGTGGTGCTCTAAATATCTTATCAGGAAAATCCATGTTTTGTAGCACTAGCCCATCAACTCTCTTTTGTCTTGTTGGCAAATGAGCTCACGCAATGGCATTACACGAGAGAGATGTTCGACGAAAGCACCGACGGGGAAAAATCTTTTGTGGTTGAAATACGGGGTGATAAGTTGTTCGTAAAGATGACAGTGTTGGGACCTGACTGCATTGGAGAAATGCGGTGACCGATATTCGTCACAAACGACGACGAACGACTGTCTTCAATGAGTGCAATGTGACAATTAGTACTCCACAACATCCTCAATGGTAAACCTAGGCTCTTAGGGACGGTGAGTATCTTGGAGGGTACGTTATTGAGGGTTGCAGACCTTGAATGCCACTGTCAAATCTGTGATAAAGGTGAAATGAAAGATTGCGAAACAAACTTGACCTCAATTCTAGACTAGAAAAACCTTGTAGGCGAGAGCTGCTCTCTAATTAGTATCTATTGTAACGCCTAAAGAGGTTACATTTACTCTTCAATTTCATTTATATCTTGGTTTCGCGTTACCCAGCGGGCAAAATCACTAACAAATCGTCGGGCGGCCCCTGCTTTGACGCTGTTTTTGACAAAGAAATCCGCATCTTGATCATCGTGGATTTGTTTGAGATCCAGAAAATTTTCAAGGGCTACATCGCGGGCTTTCTGGATATTGACCCTGAAGATACGAATTTGTTTGCTACTAGTACTTTTCCAGGTAGATAATTGGCGAAAGTGGTCTACTTTTTCGTTGTTCAACTACTGGTAACATAACTGTTAAATAAGGAGTTTTATGATGGAAGAGCACTGATCAGGTTACATAGTTATATAGATAGAATAACTTCATAGTTTGACAATATACTAGAGCTTAATAACTAGTAGTAGTTATCAACTAGTACGTGCAGTACCCTAGCATTCCCAACTGGGTACTACATAGTAGCCGCACCACCACCACCACCACCACCACCACCACCACCACCACGCCGCCTTCTACCACACTGAAGACAATCACACCCACCAACAGCAAGATCAAGCGAATCCCACTTCTCCCCAAGAACCCGAAACGCCTCCTCGGCAGCCTCACCACCCTTCATACTAGGCCGCACCCAGTTGAGCTCCAAACAAGCAGACCCCTCATCACAATGCCGCGCCGTCTTATCAACCCTATCATCATGAGCATTCAACGTGAGTCTACCAACCTGCGAACTGAGGTACGCCGTCATAAGCACGGCGCGAGAAACCATCCTATCGGTTTCGGTCAGTGCGGCGCTCAGGGCAGTCATGACTTTCTTCAGAAGTTTGCAGCGTTTCTTGAGGCAGGATGGTATGTCGGCTCCTTCGGTTGCTTGCGCTTTGACGGCGTGCTCGTGCATGGTGTCTAGGTCGTCTGTGCACGCGAGGAGGACTTTGGCTAGGTTGTACCTGTCGCTGGATGGGGCTTCTAGGGTGCTGCTGAGATCTTCTAGGTCTTTGTAGAGGTTGAAGCGGGTCTTTTCGAATTCGTTGTGGTGGTACTTTGAGCCGGACATGGTGGGTGGATGAGTGGGTGGATAGGTAACTGATTGAATGGAATGCAATGCAATGTAATGTAGTGTAATAATATGCGAAACTAATGTAGGTGGAATGCTTTTGATGCTTGAGATCTCTGTACTAAGACTGCTGCTGGCTGTTCTGGTTCGATTGATGGGGGTATTTCTCGAGTATTTATGTCTTCGACTCGAGGTCTAAAGGGTTGTTTCTTCGTAGTACTAGTATTCGAGATCCGAATATAGTCTATAAATTTGAACAAAGGAGTTTTAGAATTACAGTGTCGAGGTAAAGCGATTGACTTGAAACTACTTCTTTTCTTTCAACCAGGTGGTCCTGGTAAGAATGAACTTTGTCCCTTCCGTGAAACATCACTCCACCCCTCCCTGGATACTACAATGTGAATAGTACTGTACTGGTACGAGCCGCGGACTCTTTGAGTGGCATTGTTTACCGGTCAAAGATTAAAGGCAGTATTGTGCGTTTTGTGTGTGAAGAGCTTAAAATAGGGACTCATTGTTTGGGGTCGAATAAAATGTGTTTGGAAACGGCAGTACCCCTGAACTCTTTGTGCTGTGCCCGAGGGGTAAAGAAAGTTTGTAACAAGCTACGATCCATGGATAGCAGCTATTTTTGGCTGGATCAATACTAGAATTTCTATATCGGTATCCTTTTCACGTTTGGTACTCGATGATTGCCTCATTGATCGACACTTGACGTTCTTGATTCACAGATTAGCGTAGAGGTTCGGGGCTTTGATAAAATGTACATGGTTCTTTTAAAAATAGGTTTAGACACATTGGATGCTATGAGTTCAATGTTTTGTAAGAATTGATGTTGGCAAGTTTGCTTTGGGAAACCCCTTGTATAATCCTGTCAAACTGTCCATCTACATGTGTCAGTCTTTCCTTCCAACTGAAATAGTTCATCAAGGTAGATGTAATCATTTTCACGCCTTTTTAAGAGCTACCCGGGCCTTTGTTGCAGTCATCTATCTTGATACTGGAAATGGTACATACTACAACTTGAACTAGTGATCAGCTAATCCTCTTTGATGCCCGAACCAAGCTTGACTCGTGACAAGGGTAGTATGATATATTGGCTAATGGCCCATTGTAGAACGCAATAGTCGTTTATTGGAGCTTGGAAATGTCATTCTTTTTAGCGATATACTAGTGGTTGGGTATTGCGGCATCGAGAACCCCGCCCTTGTACCCCGGATTATGGGAAGGCCGTGACACGATCGTGTGAATGGCCAATATACTCACAGAGATAAGAAATATTATATTTATCTCAAAATTTCGGTTATTGCGGCAATAGAGATCTATGTCATATATATCATGTTTTATCACTCTACTAACACACATGATAATTACCTCGGACTATGGAGGAACCTGCCGGTCCCACCCTCAAACCCCACGAGGTGAATACCCGGGACCGTTAAAAGCCCCAAAAACCAGGGGAGCCCGTGAAACCAAAACGTATTTGATCCACTTACCGCAGCTTTGCTCTTGCCTTATTAGTTTGAGTCCTTTGCCATCGTTAACTACTATTGATAAACTTCGTTTCCTCACTTCTTTGCCTTATAGCTCTTCCAAGGGCTATTACCCATCAATCGAAGCACTTGAAGGCAACATGTTAATGCCCAGCGATTACCCCTGGGCAAAGTCCCCCCCTTATCGTATCAGCACCTATGGCAAAGGCCGCCACGCCAAAACTCGCAGTCGCTGTTTCAAAAGCTGGAGGTCTGGGATTCATTGCTGCGGGTTATCAAAGCGACTACCTTGAAGACCTGCTGGAAGAAGCCGAGAAGCTACTTCTCCAGGAAAGCACACCGGACATGAGAATAAAGACCGAGGCCGAGGACAAAGGGCCCAAGTTCCTGCCTATTGGTGTCGGATTCATAGCGTGGAGCGCATCCTTGGGAAAAGCGTTGCCCTGTTTCTCCAGATACTGCCCGGCAGCAGTGTGGTTATTTGCCCCAGCCAGGGGATTCAAAGACCTCATACCTTGGGCGGATCAGATTAGAAAGGCCACTGCGGGTAAGACCAGGATCTGGGTTCAGGTCGGCTGTGTGGCTGATGCGGTTGAGGTTGTCGAGGCTATTGGCCCTGATGTCATTGTCGTTCAGGGGGTTGATGCCGGTGGGCATGCTCTAGCCCAGGGGGCTAGTATTATCTCTCTTTTGCCGGAAATTAGTGACAAACTTCGGGAACTGCGCTCAGATCCTACGAGACGAATCGATCTGATTGCTGCTGGGGGTATCAGTGATAGTCGAGGTGTGCTTGCTGCCATGGCACTTGGTGCGCAGGGTTGTGTTCTAGGAACACGATTTCTTGCGAGCTATGAATGTTCCGTTACGGGTGGATATCAAGAAGCGATACTAGATGCTTCGGATGGAGGTATTAGCACAGTTCGAACGACCATCTATGACAAAGTTCGCGATATCCATGGTTGGCCACAAACCTACGATGGTCGCGGTCTAATTAACAAGACTTATGTTGACCATGTGGCCGGTCTCAGTGAGATTGAAAATGGGAGGCTTTATCGTGAGGAGCTTAATAGGGGAGATGGTGGCTACGGGACTGATGGGAGACTAACTACATATGCTGGCACTGGGGTTGGACTTATTAAGAAGGTCATTCCTGCAGGCGACATTGTCAAGTCATTGCACGAGGGTATAAATGCCGCACTGAACGGGAGGGGAAATATATCTAGACTTTGAGTTATGTTTATTCTATTGCCCATGAGAAGAGTTTTGATAAAGAGCCCCACGAGATGATCTTGATCTTAGTTCCGATCCCAGTGGTCGTGTACTCCGTAACAAAGAAACCCGCACAAGTTTTCAATTATACCGAAAAGTTCGAGTGCATTTCCCTGTGTTCGCCCTTCGGCAGGGGTCATAGTGTCGCCACAGCTTCCCCGCTTTTCGGGTAATGGAGGGGGCTGTTCGGGAGCAAATGCGGAGATGGATGAATGTTTGGCTAGGCTTATACGAAAGAGGAGGGGGGGGAGATACAATTGATAGATAATTGACTGTCTAATTGAATCTGTAGGCGAATCGGGAGAATCCTGAGCAATCGTGAGCTATGCATCCGCGCTAAACCTGTGGATTTGGCAGACAGGTCGCTTCAATCATTGATGCGGGCTCGCGCATGGTTGGTATTCTAGTCCAGGCTGCTAAATTAGTGGAAACTATAAGATCAATCAGTATACCAGGCAAATGTATCCTTGGCCGGCTACGGTATAGCATTGCAAGAAAGATATCATGGATCCGCGAGTCTCCCATGGGCAAGCCGTAGGCTAAATCGTATGCTCCCGTCGGAGCAAAAGGCGACATGCTGTGTGTTTGATACGCATGAGATAATCGATGATTCCTCGCGATTGTCAAGCTTTCTTCTGTGAGATCGTGGATACCTGCCCAATTCCGATCGGAGTCGCAATCGCCCCCGGAGTGTTGGTGTTTCATGGATAACCAATCTCCAATTACCTAAGAACAGCCTCGTGACAGACCTCTCTATCCGACACTGGTGGTCCCATCTCCTGGACGGCTGGTACTATGACGGCCAACTGCACCTGTCCAAATAAGGTGAACACGCCGAGAGTGTGCGGGCGGAAATGAACGAGTACTCGTAGCAGCGGCAATCCCTGATCGACCAAGTTCTGGTGATGATGAAGAAGGGGACCGTGTGGGATGTGCGCTTTAGTGGATTTAGTACGAGAAGAGAGATCCGAGCGTGGGTTGATGATCGTTAAAAAGTGTTGACGCTGGAAGCCGCCCTGTTTTCGCGTGGGAAAGAGGCTAAGCGGGTTACTGAGTAGATAGAAAGAATGTCAGAGGATGGAGTAGTGTTGTCTTGGCCCGGCGAATTGGCTGAGCGTATATCTTAGCGCGGGTGTTGGGGCGTTGTTGACTCGTTGGATCGCAGGGAAGACCGATCAGCGACCGACCAGGTTGGTCTTGGTAATATTCAGTTGAGTGGCGATTTAAATGACACGTAATAGTAGAGTAAAGTGAAGTGAAGTGATCTATTGCCACTGCTAAGCAAGATCTAGGTCGTGTGCTGATGTGTGATGTGTGATGTGTTGCTGTTGGGAGGCTGTGAGGAGCAGTTGTTGTGGGGTCCAATTTCCCCCGGTGGCACCTGACCTCCTCCCCGCAAGTCTCCAGGTTTCTTTTCCCACCCCGGACAGTCCACATCCCCATGTCGCGCCTACGTCGCCCGGTATGCGATCCCGAACTGGATGGTAAGCCTCTTTTCCTTGCCTGCAGGCGCCTCTATTAACCAGTGCAGCCTGACATGTCGGACTCGGAAGCTTAAATGTATTTTCCCCCTCCCTGTTTTGCCTGCCCGCTCTCGGCTAACTGACTCGCAGGCGATGAACAAAAGCCCGAGTGTTCGCAATGTCGCAAAGGTGGCCGTGAGTGTCGCCCGAGTGAGGGAATCATCTTTCGTCATCAACAGAATGCGTCAATGAATACAAATGCCGCCGCTCAGGAAGGACGTGGGGATCTCAAAGGCTTTTTCTCGTATAAGGACTCCTTCGACAAGGATAGCGTCTGGCTGGATATTCCTAAACACGGTGAGCCAATCTGTCGGGTCCTTTCTGCACTCATGAATATTCCTAACACTCTGCCAGTCATCTTTGTTGACAACTCCGACCCATACGCAACCGACCTCGAAACCTCCCTTGCCGAATCGAGTGCCTTGGCGTTGGCGCAATCACGGAATCAGAGATGGGGGAGCGGCTCACGAGCCAGCGATGCGGATTCACACGGGTTGGAGGCTCTCTCGGCAGTCGCTAGCCATGAGCGATTCCCTTATTCGCCTCACTCCGTGCCGGACAGCATATCATATCCATCTCCGAACCGATCGCGAAGCAGCGCGATGCCCCCTCCGACGTCCCCACCCTTGTCGCTCTCGAGTAACAATAACGCAAACACAAACATCAACTTCCTTTTAAACCCCGCCAACTCATTGTCTCCTCCTGTTGATCCACTCGGACATATTGCCGGACAACGGAGCGCCTCCCTCCCTTCCCGGCCTGCCATAGCCGCGACCCACAGAGCAGTCGAAATTCGTGTAGATGGGGATGCGGAGACGGATTTCGAGATAGCCTTCTTGATGCGACATTATTCAGAGGGCCCGGGATTATGGTATGTCGGACGGAAAAAGTGGTGAAAACTCCCAGGCCGAGAACTGACATTTGACAGGATGGACTTGTTCGATCTGGGGACGTACTTCGCTTCGTATGTACCAGTACGAGCAAGATCAAACCCTCTTCTCAAATACGCCGCCTGTGCATATGCAGCGAAACAATTGGGCCGGGTAAAAGGCGCCAAAGCAAAAATGGGCGGGGTTTGTTCACGTCAAGCAATCATGGAGACGTGGCCAGACAAAGATAAAGATTTTATCTGGCATGGGGCCAAGTATTATGAAAAGGCTATTCAGCTTCTGATGAAGCAGCTCCAGCCTGATGCCGAGAGTTCACCATCTCTAGGTGGAACGGAAAGTCATGAAGATGTAGATAACCCGCGAAAACGCCGACGCATGTCTGATAGTCGGGGCTCGCATGGTGTTTACTCCGATGAAGTGCTTGCCGCGACGGCTATCCTGTCGGTATATGAATTCCTCGATGCAACTGACCCCGCATGGAATCGTCATTTGAGCGGCGTGAAGTCTTTGCTTGACATGGCCGAAGTTGGCATCATGCCTCCAGGTCATCGTCCGTCAAGTGGGGATAATCGTTTTGCGCAGATGAAGAAGTCGGGTCTCTCCAAAGCTCGTCGGGCAACCTTTTGGAACTTTGCGCGACAGGATTATCTGGCAGCTTGTAAGCATTCTGGCTTAATACCCCTTCAGTCTCACTTACTAACATCCACAGTCATCAACGAGTGCCATACACGGCTTAACACAGATGACATCTTCCTTTGGACGGAAGCAGGCCTGCAAATCGACCACAGAGGTTTCCTCCTTCCTAGTAATAATGACGCAGCAGGATATCCCGAAGGCGACGATGTGATGAAAGAAGATATGATCTGCAATGGTCTTGTATGGATTTTGTCCAAGATCGTCAACCACATCAGTTCCGGGGATAACATAATGAATGATGCCCGGTCCGACGGTGGGCCGCTCGGAGTCTCACAGCAGTTTCTCTTGGAACGGTGGATGCGACTCGAGTCGGAGCTCGATGCATGGTACGGTGGACTCCCAGACACATTTCAACCCTGTGCGCGGATTGAGCCATCCAAGATTGAACATTATAAGCCGGCCGAAGAAGCAGCCGACCTTGAAACTTTGCAAGAGGTCTGGCATAGTTTGCCCATGTGTGCGTCGATCATGCAACATTACCACATGGCGCGCATACTGCTCTTAATCAACAAGCCGCATGAATCAACGGGTCGTCGGAACACCATCGCCCTGCGGCTGCAGTCATACCGGTCAATTGAGGCCGAAATTGGGTTCCATAGCCGAGAGATCCTGGGCATTGCCCTCTCCCGACCCGATGGGAGCGTAAGAATCAATTCGCTGCAGCCACTCTTTGTTAGTGGTCAATGTGTGACCGATGCGCGCGAGCGTCGTGTTGCGATTCGCATGTTACGCGCCATCGAGTCAGACCTTGGCTGGGCCACCGAGTATCGCGTCCAGCAACTCTTGAAAGAATGGGGATGGACTGAGAACTCTCTGGGAACAGGCGGATGAAATCGACGCCGAGTTCTAGGCCCAGGATTCAGTCCTTAGATCTTGCGCTCATCCCATTTTCGAAGCGAAATGCGCCTCTGATAAGAAGTGGAGTACAACGCGCTTCCACGATAGCAGAGGTCCGCGATGACGTCTGGGTGGATTGTCGCCGTTGATCGACCCAATCCCGGTTTTGATCTCAGGCATGAAGTCCAACACTCCGCTGCAAGCGAAGGTCAAACAATGGCCAAGCTCAGCCCTACCAGCTTATCCCGCTGCGCATCCCACCTAGGGCCTCATCGAACGAGATACCCCCATGATGAATTGAGTCCGATCGATTTTCCGCCTTGGGGCCAGGATCTCCGAGGGGCTTATCGGCATGATGAATTCGACGAGTTCATGAAATCTACTTATCATTAGTTCTCACCAGTAGTCACAATAATTAATTTCGGAATCACATATACCAGTCAGAAGAAGCAGAATTCGAGAAGAGATCAAAGAGATCAAATTTCCAACCCTCAAAACTTGCACATGTACGGAGTAGACATGAAGATTACTTATGTCACACCTCTTCACCCAAGACCATATTTGAGTTCTGCAACTCGGTCAAGTTGCCCTACAATCGGGTCGGCGGGGGGGGTTGCATCGCGGCCTCGGCAAGCTTCCCAGCCCGCAAGTTTCCCACAATTTTTATCCTTCAGCGGGCCGTCCTTGGCTTTTCGGGGTGCCGGGCCTCCCCAGGGGTAAAAACAAAGTTATGAGTAGCCAGGACTAAAAGGATTATGGATACCACCAGCCACCTTTAATATTCAAAGAATCACCCACCTGAACCCTTCTTATTTTCCATCTGATAAATACCAGTCTCCCTCTACAAAAACTCTGCCATGCCCAGCTCCATCGCCAATGTCATCACGCCCCACCGATAGGCATTACCCTCTACTAAGGCAGAAGGTTAACCGACTCGGCAATCCTCCGCATTAACTTCTGCAGGCTCAGATTGGGAGGAGACTGCCCTGCCGCATGTGGCTTGCCCTGACATCGTTAGAGGTTGGGGCCCGCTTTTGTTCCGACTTCTCCCTTGTCTCTTCCAATATTTTGTCTCTTTCTGTGGCCGTAGGGCTTAGGCCTACCGAATGTTTACTGTACAGTAAAGAAACTAGTACCCGGCGAATCAGAAAATCCCATTTTTCGCCCCCGGGATACCTAAACGGGAGAGGCCGGTGGAATGAGTATATTCAGCCCTGCTCAACCGAGGATCTTCGCCGGGCTGGAAGCAGGTATAGCGATCTTCAGGCTTGCTAAATTCAAGTTTTGGTTATGGGTGATACCTTCGAATTTGTGTATACTACCTAATTATGTCGACTGTGAATTTTGCTTGTGCTTGCTCCGCGTGTGGTGATGAATCTTGTCTGTTGAGTTTAGATACTTGAAGTTGGTCGGCGGATTCATATTGACAAAATAATGCAACGAAGGCCGCTCTTTATTGATCAAAGAGTATGTCAAAACAGCCTTATTTCTGCCCCGTTTCTCTGTCGGGACCCTCCGAGTCTGCCCCGCGGGTGAAGAGTTATTAAGTGCTAGCGGATTCATCACGGAATTCTTCAACTAATCCCGGTAAAACTTCTATTTTAGTGTCCAGGGCCGGTCGCCTGCTTAGGTGGTAGAAAATACAAACTCCCTTGTTTAGGCCTTATGGTCCAGAGAGACGGTCTTAGTATCCGAGGCCCATGGCCTACATAATATCCTGCATAGCCATTCACATGTGCGGAATGAAGTGCCAGGCATGAATCCGGTTTAAAGATGAAACAACTGATTCCACTCCACTTGGCCTTCGGTCACACTGGCTTGACTCGCAGCTCGACTCGCAGAGCGGATATTCCCGAAGTCTTTCCATGGTCGATCCATTTCCTTTCTTTGCTGCGCCATGCTTGTATACTTTCAACCAGCACGGAAACCCTCGGCTCATTCAGGGAGCTTACTATCAATTAACAGGGAACTAGATTTCGTAGATGGGAAATAATATTTCCCTGTGTCTTTAGAATATTCGTTCTTTTGTTTCATGTCGAGTAGTAGCAATTCCGAGCCCCTTTCACTGAATGGAATGTTGGGCTGTCTCTTCGTAAAATTTTCTCATGTCCATGAGAACCTATCAAATTGGAAAGAAGCCTCCTTGATGCTTGACTACTCTGATTACTTTGTTTCAAATAATTCAAAGGAGTGCTTGCAGGCTATCTAACATGGGTCATCTTTTTATAATGATTCCATCAAGTAATATGACCCCTGAAGGTGGGGCGATTCTCATATTTGAGGTCTGCAGTCTTTCCGTCTTTCGAGTCTGCCTTGCGTCTTGACAGGGGCGTCCTCGTAATGGCGCTTCGAAAAAAGACACTCGAACCCTCAAATGACTGAAAGCTAGTCCCTTCTTTATTTATGAGCTCTTTGTACAAGAAGATTGCCAAACAGGCTAAACATACATGTATATATTCAAGTAAAATCCAATTAAAGGAGCGAGTAAATAGATACGGTTTCATCCCACCTCTTTCTGAAATCATCAAAACAGCCGACTTTCATATTACCATAACACCAGACTTATCAAATAGTATTCACCATGGCTCAGAACGTCCTATCTCCAGATGAACGGGCACGCCTTATCTCTGAAGAGAAGGTCCATCTCGATATAGTGTACTTCTCCGATTTATTCATCGAGATGTTGCGAGATAATCTTGATGAGGCAACCGGACTGGCGTAGTTCCTGGCGCCACTCAACCGCTTCAATTTTGACGATGACTTTTGGCGCAGTCTTTTCCAGAAAGGTTCGCGGGGAGAGCTCAGATTGCAGCAGTCGGGTGAATCGGAGCCTGACAGATGGAAGGTCGACGAAGTTCTCGAAAATTTTGCCTGGGATGAATACTTCCCAAAGGAAGTGCTGGACAGGCTGGAGGGTGGCAGACCGAATGTAAAGGTTTTTCGTGATGTTCTCATTGGGTTTTTGGAGCGAGATTACACAGGAAAAAAGGGAAAGAGCCCACCGTTTTCTCAGAAAGGCTATTTAGAAGCGACAGAAACAGAGGAGTATGAGGAAATAGTGGAGAAAAGAGTACTCGCAAGAGAAGCACATGAGGAAAGTTTTGCGACGCTATCCTGGTGGCCATTACCGATCCCGTTTTCGCAGAACAAAACTACAATCTCAGTGGCGAGTATATTGCTAAGCAAGCACGCCGTAAAGCCTTCGCCAAGATCTCCGAGGACTTCTTTGACAGTGATGATTATGATGCAGGAGGACCACGCATTCAAGTTCGGGCCCTGGATTTTGAAACTACCGAGGCGGACCTTCGGTTGCATTTCCACGTACTTCGGCTTTCCCGTGTTTTGAACCAAGTTATGACAAGCCCCATTCTATCTGATAAAATGGGTCTGAAGGAGCGCCGAGCGTTTGCCGCTAGAATGTGGTCCCTCTCGTTTTGGAATGTTTTGGTCTTAATGCATTGAGATAACAATTGATAAAAAGGGGACCAACAATAGCTAGCCAAGCAGGAGTCAACAGGGAACCAATAAATTCAAATACAGTCGGTTTGGAACAAGGCCATGGTATTTTTGTATCGTATAGGGAATACATGTGAGCCTCAGAAGCCTCCAAGGCCTAATGATATTCAAGAAGGAAATTTCAATGTAATCAAGTGATAGGAAGTTGTCTAGCTCCAATGCATGAGAGTTCGAAGCAATAAATCTCCTAAGGTTGGCGTATAAAAATTTTCCTTTAACTATTTAGCTTCTCAAACCCTCGATTTTAAAAGTTGATAAGATGAAATCTTAGCTGAGCACTGTGAGGATGGTTTTAGTAATCTACTATATTAGCTCTCAGTTCTTCTCATCCGGACCCCCATGATTACTATTGTTTTGTCGAAATTTATTCAATAATTGCGAGATCTTTTCTACGGATACGTTCAAGTAGGCTTGCCGATAGCCGGCGCTGGGGTAGTTGCGTCTTGTGAGCCTGGTAGAGAACAGCTGATGAAGAAGGAAATCATCAAGGCCCTGAAAAGCTAGACCGGTTCATGAAGAATACAGGCCAGTCACTTTTCCATGTTATGTACACCACTAAATTACGTGCTTTCGAATCTGTTAGCAACGTTTTGACCACCCAGTTGGCTATTACGAAACTCAAAGGAATGAAAAGGTAGGGAGGGCACTTCTCTATCATAGCGTTTCCAGACCTCAGCATACTTTCTTTGGCATCAGTTGATGTCCCTGTTGGTACGGTGGATATCATAATCATGAAAAATACGTAGTAAAACAGAGGAAAGGCTCCTATTAGCAAGTAATTAATCACGGAAGCATGATGCTGAGCATCAACTCCCACCACGAGGGCGGAGGTACGGTCACTAAAGGCCATTCGGCCCTGTCCTTGCTCACGAGTATCTCCAGGGTCATTGAACTCTTTGCACCATATAGTCAGTGAGTAGCTCCATAGAGCTATATTATACTAGTAATATCTCAAATCAGAAGATATTAGTTCCGACGGGCCAAGCCCTGGAGCTCCATGAAGATATATATTCAAGGTTCAAAATGTTCATTCTTAGGTTTTCTGCTCCGAAAACCCAAGATAAAACGTGATAGGAGTCTAGGGAAGCTGGATGAATTGATTACATGTTTCTGAAGGCCATGGCATGTTGGGATGGATGTTCTCGCCAGATAGTTACAGACAGCCTCGGGGGATTGTGGCTGAGAATCCTATACATGCCGTCATATACCCAGTAAACTTATGTGATTTCATCAATGGCCGGATAGTCTAGTTGGTTATGACGCATCGTTAACACCGATGAGGTCCTCGGATCGAGCCCGGGTCTGGTCACATTCTTTTTACAATTTTTGTTTTTATCTTTACCTTCGGTGGGCCCGAGAGAAACAGCTCACCGCCGCCGAAATTTTTGCTATACCAGAGACCACGCCATACTAGGGTCATATCATATGTAAAGCCTAAGAATATAACCCCATGCACTGCTTCTTGCTTGATGTTTTGGCTGGGCCATAATGCCGGTACGGCGTGTAGAAAAACCTGTTTCACGACATCCCGACGCCTCAATGCCTAGACGAGAGGCAAATAGTAGAGAAGCAACCTTGGATCGTATTAAAGGCCGACTTGAACTCATTGGATAATGATCTCGGGAGTGGTCAGGCCTGGCCTTGAATGATGGTGCCTCAAGAAAGAGCATACACCTCCGATCTGTTACTTGGCACATCCGTCTCGCTTTCATCAGATGCCCCCCATCTGGACATAGCAACTTGAAGCACTCGATTGGTTGTATTTTCGCTGGGGTTTCAAACAATCGTACTCGGGACAGATGATACGGTATTTTTCTGCTGGAATACAGCATCTGGTTCGTATCGGTACAATATCTGGCAAGTCTAGGGCTGATTCCAAGTTGGAGGATCCTGCCATTCTCCAAGTATGGAAGATTGTTGAGCACCAATCCGGGAATACTCTTTCTTTCTATATGGAAGCTGAAGGTCCGCAAACACGAAGGAAACCTGAAGACAAGGTGTGCGCAAGCGAAATATGTAGTATTTGTTGTGGTAGCCAAAAGTTAATTTAGCTTCCACTCAACGATTAACCTGAAGCCTTGGGGATTTGTGATTCCGCGATTGTCATAGGATATCACACGGGTCGCATAGTATTTCTTATGCTTGATTCAAAGCACCGGAACATTCCAGAGTAATGCACCGGTTACTGCGTACTAAATAAGTTCAAGCCAGTATTTACTATAAGAGCGATAGAACATATGCTTAGGTGCTTTAATATCTACTCAGCCAGATCGCATAAAGTCATTCGTGCCAAATCTCTGCGGAAGATTACTTGACAGCGGAGATAGTGGGACGATCCCAGCCTCCAAGTCTCCGCCCAATATGGGTCTATGGAGCGAAGCCAAGAAATTCCCCGAGGCAAGAATCCCGAAGGACAGAATCCTGCATAAGCTGTTATAGAAGTCTTACTCTGTTAGAAAAAGGAACGGCGTGGCTCTCCAATGAGAAAAAGTCATTTCAGATTGACGTGGCTTGGCCAGGGTTATAAGAAGCTTTCTTGCCAATTTCATGGCATCCATGGCACTGCAGCCAAGAAAATCAAGATATCGGATTTTGTCGTAGGTTTGAAATTGAAGTATGCTTTTTGAATACAGGTTAAGAGCGATATAACTGTGGCTGCGGCTATACTCTCCAATCAAGATTAGAGAATGCCTATCCTCATTTGGTTTTTCGTTCGAAGACTCGCAGATACGGGGGAGTCGGGTTCCACCAAGCTGGCTATTTTACCCGGCCACCTTAAACCCTCCCCGCATCTCTCCCATGTTCGGGATCAATCTGGGGCCCGGCAATTGAACAGGAGAGGACGGGCTGGGAGGAAGCTGAGCTCCCTTTCGTCGGTCAACATCCGAAAGTATGATCAAGCCACCAATCCGGACAGAAGAGATGGCACACCAACGCGACCAACTCCCCGCGCCAAGCTTCGCCCCCGGCCCGCCGAGTCTCGGAGAAAAGGTTATTTGCCCGGCGTCTCACTCCTGATAAAGCCTCGTGGCCGACAGTTTGTTCGTACATGTTGCACCGTCCCTATTGGTTATTGGTTATGGGTTATGGGTTATGATTCGACCGAGAATCTCCAACGGCATTTGTGTGGCACGTTGCTGTGCAGGTTGCGCGAAGAAAATAGGCTAATTCGGCAAGAATCCCTGTCCGCGCTATAGGATAGGCCGAGGTAATCCATAGGCCGACCTACTGTATTGTACTAGTTAGGGCCGAACAGATCGGACGGCACGAGGACCTGGTTCTGTTGGACGGAGACTCGAAGTGGGTCGCGGGGAGGGCTTGGGGATTGTTTTTTCTCTCCACATCCCCGGGCTGGGCGGATCGGCGAAGTAAGTCTGGCCCGATAGACAAACGAGTACGGAGTACGGAGTAGAGAGAGAGAGACACTTACGGAGTAAAAGGCGTAGCTACTCTGCGAGACGAGGACTTTCCGGAGTCGGCGATTTTCTGTATCGCGGATTCTCCGGATTATCCCCGGATGTGACGTTGGAACCAGGGGAGATTTCCCCAGAGTCAAGTTGAAATGCGGAGAGGGGAGGAAGATGTCTTGGCTGAGAGAGCACAGGAACCACAGAAAGGACGGGTGGCCCGGCGATGGGAACCAATCTGAAGGGACTCATGAGTGGAAGGGGCTCAGAAAAGCGTCATCGAGATAAACCTTGATGGGACAAGTTGCGCCCCAATTCAGCCACCAGACTCCAAATGTAGCACAGACTCCTTGACACCAGAGAGGGAGAGATATGCCACAATGGTTGAACCCTCGAAGCTGCCCACCACTGACAACTTTCCATCTCGTCCTGCTCCACCATTTACCTCCAATCGTCAAGATCGGCAGTCCTAACCCTGGTCGCCCGCCCTTCATTCGTGTTTGTCCCCAAAGGGTGCTGACTCGCAGTACGCCAGACGAATGAGATGAAGCGGGGTTGATCTAGCGTGATAGTCTTAAGATTCTAGGGTAAAGTGATTTGGGTGAGTGCTGATAGTTACGAGAGGTGAAAAAGGAAGACCCTTTCGGTATTTAATTCGGGCCTCCCCTTCCTTTCCCCCCCTCCCCTCTCTCCCTTTCAAGCTCCTCCTTCCCAACCCATCTTTGTCTTCCAAGGTTTGGCCTCCCCAGATTAGATACTTTCACATCTGGATATCGGCGCCATGGCAGACACACAAGACCATTCGGCCATCCCGGTCGAGGTGAACCCCTACTCGCCGGACATTGAGGAGAATATGAGTATCGGCCGCTACATCGCGACGCGCATTCCATCTCTCAAACCTCCGATGAGACCGGCCCCAAACCCATTTAAGGCTTTGACTCTACTAAACCGCCAACAATGGCTTTTCTTCGCCGTATGTACATCCTAAGAAATACCCTCTACATGCAGACAACTAGCTACCATACATCCACTCTCACTCTTTCTCCTCCTATGTCGCAAGAAAAAAAAAGGACTATCCTGAAAAAAAGCAAAACTAAACCAACTACTTCCTTCTAGGTCGCTTTCATTGGATGGACATGGGACGCGTTCGATTTCTTCACCGTCTCCCTCACAACCTCCCAGTTAGCCAAAACCTTCGACAAATCCGTCACAGACATCACCTGGGGAATCACCCTAGTTCTAATGCTCCGATCCGTGGGCGCTATCACCTTTGGAATCGCCTCCGATCGCTGGGGCCGTAAATGGCCATTCGTCGTCAACCAGCTACTCTTCATCGTCCTCGAGCTTGGTGCCGGTTTCTGCCAGACATACAAGCAATTCCTGGCCTGTCGAGCTCTGTTCGGAATTGCTATGGGTGGTCTATACGGAAACGCAGCCGCCACGGCCCTCGAGGATTGTCCCTCCGAGGCCCGTGGTATTATCTCCGGTCTCCTGCAGCAAGGTTACGCTTTCGGATATCTACTCGCGACGGCACTTGCT